ATTTACATGTACAAGGTATTACTGCCTTAAATGTATGCCTTGACACCCTGAAGAAGAAACAACTCTATGCAATGCAAGAACTCTACATGCCAGATACAGAACATCCTCTCCAAGTTCAAAATACCACGGATTATATCATCAATACTCCTCCTCACAGGACTCAAAGAATGACTCTCCCACAGAGGGTCCGTCGTTTTATCCATAAAGATGATTACCATCGACCAATGATATTGAGCAACCTCCCTGCAGATGAAGATGATTGGTTAACACCAGAACCCTTCTATGTTTACTAAGAAAATCATCGCCCCCAATTAGGGAGACATCTTGTATAACATTCTACTGTTAAAATTATGCTACATTTACTATGGCGGGACACCACCTTGTAAGAAGCTATTGTATCAAGTAATTCTTTATAAACTGGCCAGAAAATTATTGCCTTCACTGCCATTTAAATATCCGTTGTGCAATCGAGCAAAAAAAAAAAAAAAAAAAAAAATTGCAATTTGTACATTTACTACCAATTCAGAGTCGTGTACTTTTATATCTGTTATATCTATGTGACTCTGATGGGTTAGTATTATACCCCTTCAAGAATATTTTATTATTCCACATACACTTTTTAAATTACACCGAAGTGGTTGGGCCACTTACCTTTTATATCTTACCTCTCTCCCCCCTCTCACCCTTTTCCAATATTTCTATCTTTACCCATCCTTCTTCCTTACCCATCTTACCAAAGCTCTGGTCACAAGAAGAAGGCTAGGAAAATTTTCAGTGGTTGAAATTTATCAATTTTTCCCCTAGTAAGAATGGGGGTGTCCCCGAAGCATCAATACTTTATTGGAAATTCCGTGGTACATATTGCCAAATTAAAGCTGGGTGTATCTTAATGTAGATGACCCGGGGTACCCCCAAATTTTAATGGTACGGGTATCGGGCAAAAAACCGAGTTTTTGTATCAGCAAAAATATTGGTTGTTTCCATCCCTAGTAACGATCAAGAACTGACACAGCAACACACAACGGCTTTGAATAGGGAGCAAGATTATTCAATGAACTGCTGAAGTTAAGAAGCGTACAAAGAATTGGAAACTTCAAGTAAGGCAAAAAAGGGGCAAATAAAGTTGTGCTAGTGTTTCATGACAGGTCAAACTTGTGACCTTTTAAGCCCACCTTGAAAAGTCCGTAAACCCGTTCAGAAGCAGGGCCCCGAGCGTTACGAAAAATTATTACAACTATGTCAATCTACAGTGAAAAAACAAAAGATAATTACAGAATTTTTGATTTTCCCCCATACAACATCAACAGAAGCACCACCCCCATCTACCTAAAGAAGCACAGCCATCCATACACCCCAGTAGGACCAAAGCAACCCTCTTTAAACTTGATGTCAACAAGAAAAAAAATCAGAAGTGAAGGAAAATATGTAGTTTGACCTCTTCAAAATCGTTGGTCTTTTTTTTTTAGGGTCAAGGAATGAACCCTTTTTTTCCTATTTGTTCTTCACTCTTGCAGCACTAAATTAGATTACACACTGATTTTCGGAAAACCTAACATCACTGGGTTCTACGGGATCTAAATTTAAACTAAAAACCCAAAAAAACAGCTTGTTTTTTTCAAAAAACAGGGCCCTTTTCCCCACTAGATAATGACCCAAAAGAAAATCATCCCATTATATTTATTTCAATCACCACTTACCAGAATGTTTGATATACAGTAAGATGACCACTAAACTCATATCCTCACCTCTCCCCCTTTCAGGACTCAAGTACAACTTTTTTAACACTTTGTTACTTTGTTCACCTTCAACAACATAAATCCTCAAAAAACCCTTTTTATAGAAATTATTCAGAAATTTTTTCTTTCTTTGGGGCACCCTGCCTGGTGGGAAACTGCCCGTTTTGAAAAAAAAAAAAAAAAGTAACAGCAGATTGCTTTTACAGGGCTTAAAAATTCAAGAAAGCTTTTAAAAATTTTTAAAAAAAAAAAGTGCTTAAGGGGGACTGAAAAATTTAAAAAAGGGTTAAAACATACATTTCCAAAAAAAATTCAACAGCAAAATGCAAGCCTCATACAGATTGCACAAGGATCACTGTTGTCCTTTTATTTTTTCTAAAAATAATCAAAGGAATAAAAAGCTATATGACTCTTCACAGATAAGAGCCTACTCAAAATAACCAATAAAAATGACTATCCCTATGGGAAAATCTTGATAAGTTTAGCAAATCAAGAGATGGACAACAACGTAATACAAGTAAGTGCTATCAACTTGAAAGGAGAGTAAGCAAATATGAAGTAAAGTATTAAAAGCGGGAAGCTTTATGGTGACAAGTCACCATAAGATCATATTTTTTTTTTTTTCCAACAAATCGGCCGTCTCCCACTGAGGCAGGTTGATCCAAAAAAGAAAAAATCCCCAAAAAGAAAATATTTTCATCATTATTCAACACTTTCACCACACTCACACATTATCACTGTTTTTGAAAAGGTGCTCAGAATACAACAGTTTAAAAGCATATACATATAAAGATGCACATTTTTTTTTTTTATCACACTGGCCGATTCCCACCAAGGCAGGGTGGCCCGAAAAAGAAAAACTTTCACCATCATTCACTCCATCACTGTCTTGCCAGAAGGGTGCTTTACACTACAGTTTTTAAACTGCGACATTAACACCCCTCCTTCAGAGTGCAGGCACTGTACTTCCCATCTCCAGGAGTCAAGTCGCCCTGCGGTTTCCTGAACCCCTCATGAATGTTACTTTGCTCACACTCCAACAGCACGTCAAGTATTAAAAACCATTTGTCTCCATTCACTCCTATCAAACACGCTCACGCATGCCAGCTGGAAGTCCAAGCCCCTCGCACACAAAACCTCCTTTACCCCCTCCCTCCAACCTTTCCTAGGCGACCCCTACCCCGCCTTCCTTCCACTACAGACTGATACTCTCTTGAAGTCACTCTGTTTCGCTCCATTCTCTCTACATGTCCGAACCACCTCAACAACCCTTCCTCAGCCCTCTGGACAACAGTTTTGGTAATCCCGCACCTCCTCCTAACTTCCAAACTACGAATTCTCTGCATTATATTCACACCACACATTGCCCTCAGACATGACATCTCCACTGCCTCCAGCCTTCTCCTCGCTGCAACATTCATCACCCATGCTTCACACCCATATAAGAGCGTTGGTAAAACTATACTCTCATACATTCCCCTCTTTGCCTCCAAGGACAAAGTTCTTTGTCTCCACAGACTCCTAAGTGCACCACTCACTCTTTTTCCCTCATCAATTCTATGATTCACCTCATCTTTCATAGACCCATCCGCTGACACGTCCACTCCCAAATATCTGAATACGTTCACCTCCTCCATACTCTCTCCCTCCAATCTGATATTCAATCTTTCATCACCTAATCTTTTTGTTATCCTCATAACCTTACTCTTTCCTGTATTCACCTTTAATTTTCTTCTTTTGCACACCCTACCAAATTCATCCACCAATCTCTGCAACTTCTCTTCAGAATCTCCCAAGAGCACAGTGTCATCAGCAATCTATAAATACATATATTAAACAACCACGGTGACATCACACATCCTTGTCTTTCCTACATACTCTAACTTGAGCCTCACTATCCTCGTAAAAACTCTTCACTGCTTTCAGTAACCTACCTCCTACACCACACACCTGCAACATCTGCCACATTGCCCCCCTATCCACCCTGTCATACGCCTTTTCCAAATCCATAAATGCCACAAAGACCTCTTTAGCCTTATCTAAATACTGTTCACTTATATGTTTCACTGTAAACACCTGGTCCACACATCCCCTACCTTTCTTAAAGCCTCCTTGTTCATCTGCTATCCTATTCCCAGTCTTACTCTTAATTCTTTCAATAATAACTCTACCATACACTTTACACAACATATCCCTCCAAAATGTATTCGTGATAAAATGTTTATGAATCCCTGACTAACTTTTATACATATGGATAGGGAAATGTTAAAGTAGCTAGATAGCCATTGGTTGAACCAAAAATTTGCATAGGCAATGGTGGCATGTTTATATAAAAAAAAACCTCACTGGCTGACAAGGGATACAAGATCATAAAAGTATAGAAAATATTGATGGTAGTGGTACATGTATAGAGAACAAGAGTAACTACATACTTTTACATTCTAACAATGCCTAACCTTCTAAATAACACCTCCCTTGCCTCTAAATAATACGTCTCATAACCCTTCCCCTCCACATCATCTTCTAATTTCTAAGCTCTGAATTCTTTGCACAATATTCACACCACACAAACCTCAAACATGACAACTCCACAGCATCCAGCCTCTTCCTTGTTGAGGCTTTTGAAGCCCATGGCTCACACTCGCATGAAAGGGCTGATACCACTAAACTGGTAATTATTTTTCCTACAAACTTTCTTTCCACAAATGTTTGAACACTGCCCATCTTTCCCTTCATCTGTACATGGTTCATCTTGTCTTTCATAAACCCACCTGCTAACATACCCAATCCTAAATACCTACATACTTCCTACTACTTTCGACTAATCTCGTAGCCAATTTTGTATTAACTAAATTTCTCATTACTCTCATCACCTTGCTTTTTTCCATGCTTTCTTTAAATTTCCTTGCTTTACACACCCTCCCAAACTTGTCCACCAACTTTTCAACTCTTCAGAATCTCCCAAAAGAACTATCATCACCAAAGAGCAACTATAATAACTCCCATATATTCAATTCATTATCTTACAATCCCACACCTCTCCCAAACACCCTAGCAGTCATTTATTTTTAAGATTTAATTAAATATTAATAACTGTTACCTTCTTTCTTCTTAACTGTTACCTATTAGTAGTATAACCCACAGCATTCCATTATTTATTATCTGACTGACTATTTATACATGCTGAATGTGATAGAACTCAATTTTTCATAGAATAGATGTTAGATAAAGTAAAGCAAAACTTGTGTAGCAAAGACAACTCACTGCTCTTCTAGCTCTGTTATCCTTATTCTCATTTTGTTTCTTTCCTCAATGAGTTCTTTAATCTTCTCCTGTAGTTCTGCTGCACTGTTACTGTCTTTAGTCTGTCCACGGCTAACACGCATTGGTGCTCGAATGTGTGGTTTTGGGCGAGGAGGCTACCGAAAGAATTGAGGAGCATTTAGTAAAAAAAACAAAGACCTCTTATTCTAAGAGTGGGATTGGAAAAAAGAAAAAAAAAGTAAATGGAAAGGAAGGTCAATGAGAAAATGCTTGCTAAAAGTAATGCTTAATAAGGAAAAACAATGGTGCCCATTTTCATTGGGCAATACAGTACATAAGATTCACAGAGCACTCAGACCAAAGGGACATTTAATACCCTGATATTTAAAAAACAAAACTACAAAATATTATTAGTCATACTGATAATGAATTGCCCATTTACACACAAAAAAAATTATAGGCCAGGACCAAAGATAACCCCACAAACAAGTCTAGTACATTCAATAAAAAATTATACCCAAAAACCAATGAAATAGGTAAAAATAAATATTAGCAACAACATACAAGTGGTACATTACGAGGCAGAAAAACCAGTACAAATAAGGACAATGCATTAACAATGTGTCATTCTCAACTGACTCTGGCATAACAATACCCACATTAAGACAAGAACAAGATACAGTAATACCTTGCATAGTACACTTTTGAACAGTATGGATTTTGATACAATACCGTTTATAAATTTAATAACGTAAATTTTATTTAAGTGCATTACGTGCCGATACTGGACTGCTGCTACGAATGTACCAGACTAGCGAGATGCAAACTTCAGTATAGCTCCAGACTCCAAGCAGTGAAGTTGTGTAGTCTTATCAGTACATTTTTTATTTTTTTAACATGCTAGTCATCTCCCACAGAGGCAGGGTTGCCCAAAAAAGAAACACTTTCACCATCACTCACACATAATCACTGTCTCTGCAGAGGCATGCAGGTATGTCAGTTCAGATGTCACTCCAAATAACAAATATCCCAAACCCCTCCTTCAAAGTGCAAGCATTGTACTTCCCACCTTTAGGACTAAGCCCAGCTAACTCATTTCCATGAATCCCTTCACAAAATATTACCTTGCTCACACTCCATACATCATAGTATTTTAACAAACCGGCCATATCCCACCAAGGCAGGGTGGCCCAAAAGGAAAAACAAAAGTTTCTCCTTTTAAATTCAGTAATATATACAGGAGAAAGGGTTACTAGCCCCTTGATCCAGGCATTTTAGTCGCCTCTTATGACATGCATGGCTTACAGAGGAAGAATTCTGTCCCACTTCCCCATTTAATGTTTTTATTGTGGGAATGCATCTGGTGACTTTAGTCCATGCTGGTGCACAGAGCTGAAAATCCAAGGAATTCTTAAATCCTCTTCCAAAAAAAAATGTTCCTTTTTTTTTTTTATTAACACACTGGCCGATTCCCACCAAGGCAGGGTGGCCCGAAAAAGAAAAACTTTCACCATCATTCACTCCATCACTGTCTTGCCAGAAGGGTGCTTTACACTACAGTTTTTAAACTGCAACATTAATTAACACCCCTCCTTCAGAGTGCAGGCACTGTACTTCCCATCTCCAGGACTCAAGTCCAGCCTCCCGGTTTCCCTGAATCCCTTCATAAATGTTACTTTGCTCACACTCAAACAGCACGTAAAGTATTAAAAACCATTTGTCTCCATTCACTCCTATCAAACACGCTCACGCATGCCTGCTGGAAGTCCACGCCCCTCGCACACAAAACCTCCTTTACCCTCTCCCTCCAACCTTTCCTAGGCCGACCCCTACCCCGCCTTCCTTCCACTACAGACTGATACACTCTTGAAGTCATTCTGTTTCGCTCCATTCTCTCTACATGTCTGAACCACCTCAACAACCCTTCCTCAGCCCTCTGGACAACAGTTTTGGTAATCTCACACCTCCTAACTTCCAAACTACGAATTCTCTGCATTATATTCACACCACACATTGCCCTCAGACATGATATCTCCACTGCCTCCAGCCTTCTCCTTGCTGCAACATTCATCACCCATGCTTCACACCCATACGAGAGCACTGGTAAAACTATACTCACATACATTCCCTCTTTGCCCCCAAGGACAAAGTTCTTTGTTTCCACAGACTCCTAAGTGCACCGCTCACCCCTTTTCCCCTCATCAATTCTATGATTCACCTCATCTTTCATAGACCCATCCGCTGACACGTCCACTCCCAAATATCTGAATACATTCACCTCCTCCATACTCTCTCCCTCCAATCTGATATCCAATCTTTCATCACCTAATCTTTTTGTTATCCTCATAACCTTACTCTTTCCTGTATTCACTTTTACTTTTCTTCTTTTGCATACCCTACCAAATTCATCCTCCAACCTCTGCAACTTCTCTTCAGAATCTCCCAAGAGCACAGTGTCATCAGCAAAGAGCAACTGTGACAACTCCCACTTTATGTGTAATTCTTTATCTTTTAACTCCACACCTCTTGCCAAGACCCTCGCATTTACTTCTCTTAAAAACCCCATCTATAAATATATTAAAAAACCCACGGTGAGATCACACACCCTTGTCTAAGGCCTACTTTTACTGGGAAATAATCTCCCTTTTTCCTACATACTCTAACTTCAGCCTCACTATCCTCGTAAAAACTCTTCACTGCTTTCAGTAACCTACACCATACACCTGCAACATCTGCCACATTGCCCCCCTATCCACCCTGTCATACGCCTTTTCCAAATCCATAAATGCCACAAAACCTCTTTAGCCTTATGTAAATACTGTTCACTTATATGTTTCACTGTAAACACACACCCTCACACACCCCCTACCTTTCCTAAAGCCTCCTTGTTCATCTGCTATCCTATTCTCCGTCTTACTCTTTATTCTTTCAATAATAACTACCACACGCTTTACCAGGTATACTCAACAGACTTATCCCCCTATAATTTTTGCACTCTCTTTTGTCCCCTTTGCCTTTATACAAAGGAACTATGCATGCTCTCTGCCAATCCCTAGGTACCTTACCCTCTTCCATACATTTATTAAATAATTGCACCAACCACTCCAAAACTATATCCCCACCTGCTTTTAACATTTCTATCTTTATACCATCAATCCTGGCTGCCTTACCCCCTTTCATTTTACATACTGCCTCACGAACTTCCCCCACACTCACAACTGGCTCTTCCTCACTCCTACAAGATGTTATTCCTCCTTGCCCTATACACGAAATCACTTCTTCCCTATCTTCATCAACATTTAACAATTCCTCAAAATATTCCTCCCATCTTCCCAATACCTCTAACTCTCCATTTAATAACCCTCCTCTCCTATTTTTAATTGACAAATCCATTTGTTCTCTAGGCTTCCTTAACTTGTTAATCTCACTCCAAAACTTTTTCTTATTTTCAACAAAATTTATTGATAACATCTCACCCACTCTCTCATTTGCTCTCTTTTTACACTGCTTCACCATTCTCTTAATCTCTCTCTTTTTCTCCATATACTCTTCCCTCCTTGCATCACTTCTACTTTGTAAAAACTTCTCATACGCTTTTTCTCCCTTACTACTCTCTCTACATCATCATTCCACCAATAGCTCCTCTTCCTTCCCGCACCCACTTTCCTGTAACCATAAACTTCTGCTGAACAATAACACTACATTTTTAAACCTACCCCATACCTCTTCGACCCCATTACCAATGCTCTCATTAGCCCATCTATCCTCCAATAGCTGTTTATATCTTACCCTAACTGCCTCCTCTTTTAGTTTATAAACCTTCACCTCTCTCTTCCCTGATGCTTCTATTCTCCTTGTATCCCATCTACCTTTTACTCTCAGTGTAGCTACAACTAAGAAGTGATCTGATATATCTGTGGCCCCTCTATAAACATGTACAGGATACTCAACAGTCTTTTATCTACCAATACATAATCCAACAAACTACCATCATTTCACCCTACATCATATCTTGTATACTTATTTATCCTCTTTTTCTTAAAATATGTATTACCTATAACTAAACCCCTTTCTATACAAAGTTCAATCAAAGGACTCCGATTATCATTTACACCTGGCACCCCAAACTTACCTACCACACCCTCTCTAAAAGTTTCTCCTACTTTAGCATGCAGGTCCCCTACCACAATCACTCTCTCACTTGGTTTCAAAGGTTCCTATACATTCACTTAACATCTCCCAAAATCTCTCTCTTTCCTCTACATTCTCTCTTCTCCAGGTGCATACACGCTTATTATGACCCACTTTTCGCATCCAACCTTTACTTTAATCCACATAATCCTTGAATTTACGCATTCATATTCTCTTTTCTCCTTCCATAACTGATCCTTCAACATTACTGCTACCCCTTCCTTAGCTCTAACTCTCTCAGATACTCCAGATTTAATCCCATTTATTTCCCCCCACCGAAACTCCCCTACCCCCTTCAGCTTTGTTTCTTTTCATTCACAACATCACCAATCGTCTGTTTCTTGTCATCCGCACTACATCCACGCACATTCAAGCATCCCAGTTTTATAAAGTTTTTCCTTCTTCTCTTTTTTAGTAAATGTCTATAGGAGAAGGGGTTACTAGCCCATCGCTCCAGGCATTTTAGTCGCCTCATACAACACGCATGGCGTGTCAAATAAGAAAGCCTGGGTAACACGACAACTGTTTGAAGATTGGTCTGCAAATTATTTTTCCCTGCAGTTGAGCATTACTGCAAAAGAATAGATGAGGATTTTAAAATTATGTTACTGGACAATCATCTACGTCATCCTACTTCGCTTTGACTGAAAAGAAAATGTCAGTATAATTTTTCTGCCACAAAACACATCATTACTGCAGTGATGGATCAGGGTATCATTGATACATTTGAGACTTATTACAGTGGACCCCCCGGTTATTGGCCGTAATCCGTTCCAGGTCGGCCGATAACTGAAATGGCCGAAAACCAAATTAATATTTCCCATAAGAATTAATGGAAATACAATTAATCCATTCCAGACGAAAATATTCACACACACAAAAAAAAAAAAAAAAAAAAATAATTACGTAAGTATTACATACATTTATTGAAGGTTAATGCTGGCTTCTGGAAGATAGGGAAGAGAAAAGAGGG